GTACCCCGTACCCGCGCCCGCAGCGAGTGCGCCGCAGCGCAGGGTATGTTAGGCAGCGTTCGAGCCCCGGTTCACTGCAGGCAGAGTGCGCCCCCCACCCCCCGCCTGGCACCACCCTGGGAGCGCCCGGGTTCACTCGGGAGCTCAGGCCTCAGCGCCAGGGGAGCGCTCCGAGCCACCCGACACGTCTGAACCCCTCTCGCTTGGCTCCGAAGCAGGTTCGGCACTAGTACCGTCACCTCAGATGGGGGTCGGGCCGGCCACACCCCTGCTCTCCCCGGGGGGCGGGGAGGCCTGCGCCTTGACCAGTTCCCTGGAGCCTCAGCCCCCCAGTGTCTCAGGGGAGGAGCGCGCCTGCTGGGAGCAGCCTCCCGACTCGGCATCAGCCCCCAGCGGCCCTTCTCCCTCCTCACCTACTTCCAGAGGGTCTTTGGGGACCTGTATCCAGGCCCAGCATCAGGACTTTCAGTGCCTGGACTTGAGATACGTGCAGTCTCCCACCACTGGATGGCGTGTGCTGGGCAGCAGTTGGGGACCCAGGGAAGAGATGGGGACATTTCCCAAACCCTAACCCACACTCCTACACCAGCATGCCCCCTCCCCGCCCCAGCTCCTCCCTGCACTGTTCACTTGCTCCTGTTCACTTCCTCCGGCACCTCCACACACCCTCAAGCATCTCCTCCCCTTCAGCTCCCCTCACCCCCAGACCTGCCCCCAGTGATCAAGAACTCCCCCAACGAGATGAAGCCATTAAGAGCATTAGAAGAATGTCCTGTTCTTTCAGCATCTCAGCCGCCCTCCACCCCCAACCAGCCAGGCCAAACCTTCTCTCCTTTAGCCCTGAACTGCATTCATACACTGGCTTACCCAATCCCCACTGCAGAGGACCCTAAAATTACTAGGGTCTGACAAGGATGCCAACTTTTTATCAAAAAAGGAAGTTAAAAGACAAGCATGGTCACAGAAGAACATTTTAATACCAAAAATGTGGGAAGGCCACTATCCCAGACTAAAAGGGAATCTTTAAATAAAGCACAGGAAGCTGGGGGGTGATGACCGTCCTTCCTGTCCCTGGTGTGGCTGACTGGCGTCCCCACAGCCACCACACACAGTCTTCCAACCTCAAGAGCCCTCGCTGACCAACCAAAACACCCCAGAGACCCCCCCCACCAAGGCTGTACTGTGCCCAGAGGTCAGGCTACAAAGAAGAGGGACCCCCTTCGTGGTTCCAGGAGAGATGCGTCCTCACACCTCCACACTTCAGCCTTGGAGTCTCCGCCCTGGGCTGCATCGCCCAGCCTTCCGGGAGTCCCTCCCCAGAGCTCCTGCCCACAGTGGTCCTTGGGATGAACTATGAGGGACAGCCACGGGGCCTCCACCACACGGGAGGGCTCAGGGAATTGGGAGAACCTGGCTGGGCCATCCGGGAGGTCACTGGGGATTTTGAGAAGGCCCCTCCCAGCCCCTTCCCTGCAGCCTGTGCTTCCCCGGCCCACAGCATGGCAAGCACAAGCTAGAGTGATGCTTGGAGCATACCCCTCACAGTTGGGGTCACAGCCGAGAGAGGGGCCCAGGTCAACTTCCCAAGCCACCCACACACCTTGAAGCCATGGCCCTCTGGGGGCCCAGGCCCAGGACTGGCCCTGTCCCTAGCTGGCACACTAGAGAGCCAGTCACAAAGAAGGTGTTGGTGTCTTTGCAGACCCCCTTGAACACCACATCCTGGATAAGGAGGCTTCCCCTCCAGGCTGACAGCCAGGGCAGGGAGGCCAGAGTGGCATTTGGGGCCACTGCAGGGCCTCTGACCCGCAGCTCCAGCCCAGTCCTGCTAAAGTGGATCCGTGCCTCCGCCCGGCTCTATTCCGTTCTGCTTAATTCACAGCCGTGTCCTTGGACCCTGTGCCAGACTGGGCTCAGCTGCCTGCAGAATGGCGGCAGTGACAGGCTGTCCTAGGCCAGTCAGGGCTGCACAAGTCGACACCAGCATTTCTGAGACCAGCGGCCACTGTCATCTGGTGACTCTGCCAAGCCCAGCACAGAAGGGGCGCAGTGGTCAGTGAGTACTCGATCTATAGTCACGCGGAAGGGGAACAGCTCGCCCAGCCCATGCCCACTCACCGTGCAGGGAGGTGGCCAAGGCCAGCCAGGCGCCCACACAGCCTCACCTCTTGGATGAAGTCGGGAGGTCGGGAGACTTACCTGCCGGCCCACGGCGCTCGGTCCACACCTCACGCCCACCCACCCGCTGGCCGACAGCACCGTCACCTGCGCTAAGCCAGGGCAGCGCCGGGACCGGCCAGCACCGGGCATTGAGGGGCCCGGCACTCTACCGTGTTGCACCTCTGGGCCTTCTGTGCCTTGCCAAGCAGCCTGGTGCTCCGAGGCTGCGGCAGCAGGGCTCTGGCCAAGAAGACCCGGTGAGGCTTGAGTCCAGGACCCCTCATGCTGCACGTGGGGGTGGATGGACACAGGGGACGTAGCTCGAGGGCCTGTCAGCCAGGAAGCAGCACTGGGCGGAGCAGAGAGGGTGCCCAGTCGGGTATGCCAAGAGTGATATCCAGGACGATGCCCCAGACCCCCCTGGCAGCCTCCCAGCAAACTACAGGGCAGAGCTCCACCCCTGCAAACAGGCCTTTGCCCATCCCAAGCCAGTGACCACAGCGAGGTATCCCCCTCCCCCACAGGATGGGTGGGTGGCTGCATGAGAAGAGGGGTCTGCCTAACAGCTGCCTCCTTCCGTCTCGGGCTGGGCAGCCTGGTGGGGCCGGAGGACAGGGCCTGCAGGGCTTGGGCAGGTGGGCACCACAGGGGGCGGGTAGCCATGTGCCCAGAGCAGTGAGGGCTCCCAGCCAGCTCCGCCTCCCAGCCCTCAGGCCCTGCAGAGGGCAGGTGGGACCCAGGGGGAGGTGAGGCTCTGGCCAGCATGTGATCCGCCAATAGTCAGGGGCCAGGCTGTGGTTCCAAATGCCACCTTTACTGCTGGAACAACAGTGGTGCTGACAGGAGGCCAAGGCTGGGGAGCAGCAGCAGGGAGCTCGCGCTTGGTTGGGACCACCTCTCACTGAGGATAAGAAAGCTGGGCCAGACCCAGATCCCTGGACCTTGCCCTTTGGCTCTGTCCTAGGGGGGGCACAGGACAGCCTGCAGGTCCTTGGGCAAAGAGCCGATGGCTGTCTCGATGTACAGCTGTGCCCGCTGAAGCGTCGCCTCCTTCACCGGGAGCTGGTGGCCTTGTGCCTGCACCTGCAGGGGCAGTGGTGGTCAGGGGCGGGTGACTCCACATCCGGCTGGCAGAGGCTGGACAGGGCCAGGAGGCATCTCACCAGCTTCTC